GCCAGATGCGCGGGGAGAACACGCGCAGCGGCAGCGACCACGCCGGCAGCGGGGACGCGAACGGCACGAGTGCAAAAATAAAGGAATCATCTTCGGTGGATGGTATTATATCTAATGCAGATAATTGTGAAATAAATCCATACACGACGTCTGGGACGAAATCTAAATCTCCAACAGCCAGTTGCTGTAGAAGTTGTTTTGCCAAATCTTCATTCTTAGAAATAGAAAAAACGAAAATGAAGGTTATAATCGTACCATTGTTAAATTAATACCGGGAGGGTCACAGAATCATTCCCGGTCAAATCGCACACATTTAGACAGAATTTGACCTTGATGTCCCAAATTTTTGTTTGTTTGTTTTTCTATGACAAATATAACAAAAAATATGATACATATGTTTTTCATTTTTTCCGAATTTTTTAAGACATGACATTAATTTTCAAAGATTTTGAATATAATGCTCGCATTGCTGAAGTTAATAATGTTTGTAACTCATATGGTAATTGCGACAGAAATGTAATATTTTGCGACATTAAAGAACAGGTAATGCTCTTACATTTGATTAATGTATTGAAATAATTACATTTTTAAATAATTTTTTTTACTTATTTTCTTTTTCGTTTTAAAATCACTTTCGTAACTCAGCAATTTAAAAACATCACTGTATTCTCTGAAATGTAATACCTAAGTGTGACAAGTTCCAAAGTATACTTTCGTTAATAAGTGGACACAATTTACAATGAGCCGGATGGCTCATTACAAACATATAACCATAATTGCTAAATACATTTAAATTAAACAGTATCAAACATATTCAACTCAATATAAATAATAATAAATATAAATATAATACTCATAATAAAATATAAATATAATAAATGAACAAAGTATTTACACGAATAAGACTGTATGGTACAGTTAATTAAACTGATATTTATTTTACTACTCGTACACCGTACCGAAAATATTGTTTATTGTCGGTTTCGTAAAGAAATGAAACTATGTATTTTCTTTCTGCCTTCTATTTTTTTTATTTCCATAGCACTGTTGCAACAGTGCTCTACCAGCAAAGTCGGCAGGCAATGGGGAATGAGCGGCCAGCGCGTGGAGCGGCAGCCAATCAGCGTGGCTATGCGGGCACTACGAATAAAGCCGGGCACCGCCACCGGAGCAGCAAGCAGTGTGTGCGAGAAGTCCGGCGTGTGTATGAATCATTGATGTTTTCGGATGATGGATGCAGCCTGGCATTGTGTTTGGATATTCTACTGGATTAACTGTCGACTGTGCGACACATGGACATGTGTCGATGTAGAATGGACATGTATCGACATGTATCGTCTTATCGACATGTGTCGTCGTATCGACATGTGTCGAAGTATCGACATGTGTCAAAGTATCGACATGTGTCGATGTATCGACATGTGTAGATGTATCTACATGTGTAGATGTATCTACATGTGTCGATGTATCGAACTGTCGACAGTGCGCATCTCTTGCTTTAGCGTGATTTTTTTGTTTCGTTCTGGATATTCTACTGTTAGTAAGAAATCTGCCTATGAGCTGAATAAAACTTCTTGTTACATTGCGTTTTTCCTGGATACGTCACCATGGAATTTTAAGTGTATTTTTGTTAATATCTTCAACGGTACAATACTACCCACTTTCTAAAGAACATGAAACTCCTAATATTTTTTTTAAATTTATTTTTTTTTGGTTGCATAATTTCAACGAAACCAATTAGAACAATTCTTTTAATAGACCAGTGTTCCTAAGGACATGTATGAAAACGCAGGTGTTAGCGATTCTGGTACTGCGTCGGCTGTTCCGTGAACTTCTGCCTGATGTCGACACGAATATTTCTGGCCCAATACGCCCCTCTCTCATTTCTATTCCTTTTGGGATTGCGGTGACATCAATATTGATGCCGTGAACTACCGAATACGATTAATTAGTATTACAATTCAGTAAAAAATCTCTAACAAACTGAAAGTATAAAAAACAATTCATTAATTGATCATAGAACAACGCTTACCCCTTCCTTGGCGTTTGCAATGGGTTGGAATTGAAGCACGAAGCCGAGTTTTCTTGTTATCTCCACCAGATGACACCGCAAGACGCCAAATATATGCACCTTCATCCCGTTCACGATGGTAGTCCGGTTGAGGTTTGCCAAGTGCGGAAAATCAGGCACGCGAACCACTTTCTGCGCAAACACACGCGCGGGTCACGGCGCCGGATGTACTGGGTTCCCAGATTGGGGAAATTTGGCCCCAAAATGGTTTGCTTTTTTTTCGTTGCGGGGAAAGAATCGGGAAAGCAAATGACGGGGAAATGTTTTGGGAATTCTTGGGGAAATTATTTTCATCCGGAGTCGAGATAGAAATATTGTCATAGTCATTATTAATTATGGGTCATGCTTATGGGTCACGCAAAGCTAAGTTGTGCACAGAGTGCAAAGTCGCCCTCCTCAACCGGACGTCTGCGGTGCGACGCTCTGGCGCCTGCAGCCCCAACCCTTGGACGGGCGAAACAGCCATCAACAGGATGGTCGTGGTGAGCCATCCCTTGGGGTCACCATCATGACCATCAGCTCCTCCTTTGCACACGGCACGTGGGCCTCGCCCATGTTTGCGCATGGCTCAGCTGTCACGTGACCTGAGTCTATATAGCAGTGTTACCAGATGTGTTTAGAGGGATTAAGCCATGTTCGTTTCAGTTTCCGCCGAAAATCCGCTGAACTGGTTTTAAATTTCCCGCCTAAACCCGCTAAACGTAAAATAAATTCTTTTTTCATATTTAA